AAAAAAAAAATTTGAATTGCTGAATGTAGGAAGCAAATCAAAAGGCTTCCAGCTGAGCTATAAAAAACCAAAAAACACCAAGACGGACTGACCAATCGTTTCGGATTTCCTAAGTTAGTGATATTAGCGGCACCTTCGGAAGCACAGCTATGCCAGGTCCTCGATTTTTGGCTACATTACCTTCAATTAGCATCCACTGCTTGTATTCGTTGCGTACGTGCAGTCTCTTTCGAAGCCGTCTGCCTGGTCGTCAACTTCCTGGGTGCCACTCACTAATGCACAAAGTCCATCAGATGTCAATAACGCAAGTAAAACTACTAGCTTACTTTGTTTTGTGCAGGGAAAAATAATTGTTTTGTGCATTTATTTGTGGACGAGTCAGAAAATCAAATTTTTAACAAAATGCTCTGTGTTGCAAAAATCTGAATGAGCTAATGAAATGATTCGATCAGATGCAGGATGATTTGGAATCGTGGATTTACATGAGCGTGGAACTATTCCACTCCGATATTCTACCTTGGAAGAAAATTGTAGATCGAGAAGCTGTTCTAACTCACAAGGATAATTTCTTCTTACTCCCATGTACGTTTATTGAACGTTATCAATTTATAACTAACTACAAGAAGCAGAAAATATTTTGATAACTAAAAAATTTCTTAAAGTGACGTTTAAGTTTGAATAATACTGGAAAAGTGGTTAAAATCGTTATCACTAAAACAAAAAAAAGACGTTTCATAAGTGCTGGAAAAATGGTCATCCTGAAACTTTAAAATACAAAAAGATTTGTTTAATTGTTCTGATATTTTGATCAGTTACTAGCTCTTATTTCGTTGTCAATGCTGGTGCAGCTAGCAACTTTTCCATTCCTCTCTGTTTTTGGGTTTCTCTCACCCACATAATTCCATGTAGCCGTTCTAGTCGGTCACTTCAGCGCACCGTGGTCCTCTTTGTATTCTTTCAACATTTTCTGGCAGTCATTCAACAGTCCGCTTTTTCATTTGCTGTCTGTCATTTTACCACATACACCTAGAGCAATTAACAGGGCTGAATCCGCAGTATTTAGTTGAGAAACGTGATGATTTGCATATTCAGTGAATTTTTTCTTCAGCATCAGAAGTTTATGGAAAAGCGCCACAAGGTTATAAAAGCATATCACGGTATATTGATAACCTATCATTTGAAGAGGAGCCAAATTACACTCTAATTCAGGTTCACGTTTTGCAGTTATTAACTCTTTGAACGAATTATATAAAACTCCAAGAAGCTTATTATAACAATTCATATTTTGACTACAGCATCATGAGTTTTTGCAAAAACAAATATTATGGCGACCATGTGTGTGTGTTTGTGTTAGTCTGTCCGGGTATTTTTACTCGGCATCCAGGCGGGCTATGGTATTGAAATTTTGACGATGAGTTCACCAGCCAAGCGCAACTTCAGGAAAGCGGTACCAACTTTCACGCACATCTGAGCTCCGCATACGAGTACGTGTATGTCATGGTGGGAAAATTGGTACATCGGGAACTAGAAAAGCTAGAAGGATGAAATCTTAACTACTTGATATCAAATTCAGCCCCCAGATATACGTGGCAGGAGCAAGTAAAAATTTTTGCGGGAAAATTGCTAGCTGAATAATTAGGTTATTTTCAATGGACGACGTTTCAGTGGAAACTGTTCATTTTTCTGCATGCATTAATTTGCGGTAATTTACACTAATGGGTACAGAAGTTAAATGTAAAGCAACAACCACTCATACGGTTAACAAACTGACTGCTTCATATTTAGTGCAAATAAAAAGCATAATCGAGCCGGTAAGCTTGATGCGTTCCGGCCTGCGTTAGATCTGGTCCAGGATTTTGTTACTCAGAAATTTTTCTTGCAGAAAGCTTTAGAGGAAATAATTCGAAATGAAAATATTGACGTAAGCTTGCCATACGACTGGTTTGGTTATGATCTCACAAAGCGAAAGCGAAGAAAGCGAGCACTCGACGCGTCCGATGAGGCAGGAAGGCAGTCCAGAAATGCACCAGCTTCCCCTGATGTGGTTCGATTTAAAACATTCTACAATCGAGTTTACTGTAAAATTACAGTATGATTCGAGCAACAGTTGCCTAACTGGGTTAATCTTATCTTACTGTAGATTGGTGTAGCACCCTGAGAGCTTGCTTGCCCAAGAATGACATGCTTGACTGTTTCTGGATACAAACGTATCTTGAAGCAACAAGTCTCTTAGATTATTTCGTGGGAGTTTACCACTCATCGTACCTATCTAATTTTTTGCGAACAAACGATTCATGTTTCAGTTATGCATTGATCCAGAAACTGGGCAACCTCAGCCAACAACAGAAGAACAAAAAAATGCGGAAGCACCAGCAAGCAAAAAATCTGAAACCGCAATTGCGATACAATCTTCATACGTATGTTGTAGTTGCAGCTGCGGCAAAACTTTCTTTCATAGTCTTCACAGCTTTCTCTTATAGCACTCTTTTGATAACATTTCTTTTATAGTTTTCCTAAAAAGCAGATTGCCACCGTAACTTTGCTTATAGAGAAAGAGCTGGGAGCCAAAAGTTGGAAACAACCAGTGAGACAAACAATCTCTCTTCGACTCGTTCATTCGTCTGACTGGCAAAATGGTACGGGCTGTTCCGCCAAACCCGCCATCAGCATGCTTGTAAGCAATTCTCGTGGGAGGCAGTTACCAGCAAATACCATCTTCTCTTACAGAAAATGAACACAGAAGGGGTTTTTGACCTTAAAGTAACAAAACCGGTATATACATTACTGATTCATGTATATATATAGCGATATATAGACGTAAGTAAGTCGGAAGGATAGGGGAATGACAAGAGTCTATTCGTTTCTTGCGCCACCTGTCGAGGATTTTTTTCCGGAAAAGAAGGCACAGCACCAGCTTTACGTATTTTTTTTTTACTTAAATCTACTTTATTTTAACTAAAAAATATTTCAAGGGAGCTGCACAAGGAAATGTAGTAAGCGAATATTATCCAGATAATGCTGCATTTTTTCGATGATTACGTCGTGATTGTGACTTATGCCTTGTTTTCTACAGCATAAAAAGATTTGTTTACTGTGTAGTGATTTCGCGCAGCAACAAAAAATTGATAATCAGAATCAGAAAAGATGTCGTTCTTCTGAATTTGGAGAGGGGATCGATTCCGACACTAGGACAACCAGTTCCTCTTCAGTTCCTTCATTCGTTTCGGTGGCACTGACGCATCCCAGAGAGTCGATTTAGTTATCAGTTTGCTTTCAATCAGCCATCTTAAAAGAAAGCCACTGGACAGCCTTGTCAAAGGGTGATTGTTTTTGGCATTTCTGTTGCCCTGCTACAAGCCTCAACCTCTTACAGAGAGTGAAAAATGGGAACTTATCTATTTTTGTCGCTTTTTTAAATTGTGGATACAGTGCCCTTCGGACTGTTCAGCTTTTATTGCAGCTCTTTTAAGTAAATAGCTTTAGCAGTAATTATTTGTTTGTTTTCTTAGTTGCGGGCTAGCTGACCACCGGACCATGCAGAATTTGGTCAAACTGATCGGAAGAGTTGCCAGCTGCACAGCTGGAGAAAAATGCTATTACTTGCGAACTGTTGAAGCAGATATTTGTTTTGGTATCCTATGTAACCAACTTTGGTTAGTGGACAGAATCACTTTTTATTCTAGAGAAATGTTTTTTTCATTCTCTTTTAGTTTAACTGCCAAATCCCATCGATATACTTTGTAAAGAAAACTTCGAAGTAATGGTGGAACCTGAGTTCATGCACCTGTAATTTACTGCGAAGCTTCATGAAGCCACTAATCTGTTGGTCAGCTATCAGAATCTCATTTCATTTTAGGCACAGTATGCCGTCATCTCCTTTTGCTTCTCGCCAATTTCGAGAAAGATCTAAGCGTCCGAAAAGCAGTCCGGCGTACCTGGTGAAGAAAATCTCGAAGATTCTGATCAAAAGAAATCCAGGAGCATGAATTTAAATTCCTGAAATTCGCTGTGGTTTCCTATGAAATCTCTTGTCCATTGATTAGCTGCCGAAATCCAATATTTAAGCAAGGCAGAGGCTATTAAGCTCTTGTCAAATTCGGAAAAAGCAAGGCATCTGGAAACAATCCGGTGCGCCTGGGATTAAGAAAAGCCGTGGAAGCTGTAGATAATGGGTGATTTGGAGTCCACAGTGGTACCAGGCGAGCATGTTTATTTCTGTACTTCGTTCCTATGCCTGTAGCTGCATTGTAAAGCACAACAACATTTATCGTAGCGAATGAATGTTACAAGATGGGAGCGAAAGAAATTATCCTGCTGCAGTTGCTGTTCTCTGGATCGTGCTTCGGCGTTGCATACCATAACTGCTGGATCCTGTTAGCTTCAGGGAGCATCTTAGTTAGCAAAACGATCTGAAACGATCGTATAGCTATCTCCGACAGCTGATCATCCTTATCCATAAAATCTTGGTAACAAGCAGAAAGTTACAGCTTAAAGTTCTTTTACACTACAGCTAAGTTTCAGCGCCTTTCTCTTTTCGTGAGGAAAAAGCTGAAAGGAAGGAAATTTTCTTCACTTTTTAAAGAAGGTAAGTGTGCATTATTTTTTATCATTCAGTGTTTTTAATGGTGCTAAGGAATCTTGAAATAGTAACTGAGATAAAAGCTAATTAAATCTTGAATTTATCATGAACTCGTCTTCTATCGTCCATCAAGAGGTTTGGGGCAACACATTTTTGGTTCCATCATATTTGTTAATGGTAATCAAGAATCCTGAATTCGTAACTAAAACGCTACTCAAAATTGCAGTGATTTAATTACAAAGAGCAAATCTGGACAGCGAGGGAGGCTGGACTGGACTGACCAGTAATTAGCTGCGTTATCATCGCCAACGATCTGAACGAGAATTCTCTCAAATAAATTTGGCGGGACTCATTAAAGCGGTTTTAAATTTTCATGGATCATCTAAAATATTTCGTACGTCTATTAAAAATGAAAAGTCACTTCAAAAAAGCTAACTTCAATTGAAAATTCTTTAATTTTTATCCTCCCCCTTTTCCCTTCCAGAAAAAAATTCCTGGATAGAGCAACAAGCCATGCCAAATCAAAAATCAAAATCCCTTTCGTATTCACACTCCCAGTCGAAGACTGGAACGTTAGTGGTAAGAAAGTGCCAACAGTAATCAGTCGCTGGTAAAACTCCCTGTTGCTTCCTCTCTTGTGGATTTTTTAGAAGCAAGCTCGTGGCGCTTTTGATTCCCTGGTATATGTCAGCATTAGTTTATCATCGAAACGGATGAACAAATCGTAGAAGGACTGGTAGTGCTATCGGCCGATTGGAATCTTGGATTCCCCGCTTTGCCATGCTCGTCTGTGCAATATTATAAAAATTCAAATCCAATAACCCAAGAAATTTAAGGAATACATTTCGAATTACCCTCTCTAATGAAGAATTTTTACCAGAAAATTGACATCATCCTAGCCGGATAACGCCTTCGTCCTGCATTGAAGCGGCCATAAGGTAATCGATTATATCGTAATCCTAAAAAGTGATTTTTGCGAATAAAGTTTAATTTTCAGCTTCCTTTTCTGTCTGTATGATCTCTCATCCAGTGAATTTAAGTCCAGATCCGGGATGTTTGAATCAGAGAAGTCCCTTGGAACCAATCAGCTTTCCTTTTTAGCGCATTTCTGCACAAGTCTAGATAATTCAGAACTCGGCGATTCATTATGTCGTGGGGATCATATTCTAGCTTCTGTGATATTTAAGCTAGAAATTAAACCAAAGTCATTTAATATTCCCTATCAAAAAAAAAGAAGCAGTGCGGGCGAAATGTAAGAAACAGAGGAAATGGCTCAAACCTAATAATCCAGGATAGCTTAACAATTCCACAGAGCATGATGAAGTGAGAAAAAAGAAGGGGATGTTTCAGGATTAAATAAACCCACGGTTTTTAAGCTAAAAAAAGCGTCCTTTCTCCTCTTTACTTAGCTGAATTCGGGAAAGCCATCAAAAAAAAAAAAAA